ATTATTTGTTGGGTTGAAAAGCTAAAAAGTTGAATACATTGTTACATAGGCACGACTTTTTATAAGAATTTAAAGTTAAAATGTTTGCTCAATTATTATGTAGTTAAAATTTATAGAATGTTGAACACATACAGTAGTAGGTACTAATGCCTTATAATAAAATAAATTACTTTAATTATAATAATTTCATATCATAAAATATACTTAGTAATATCATAGGTCTATCAGACCGTCTACGTTCCAAATCGTTTTTCGTAAACAATAATCTTATACCATTGAATTATAATTTAACACCTCCGTTATAATGACTCCTGTGGACACCCAACGTACAGTAAAGTATTAAACACTTGTCCATTTTTATATTCAATTTTGTAATCATAATTTACAACCTAGACCCGGATTTGGCAACCACACTAAACGAGGTGGGAAAYAAGATTAGGAGACGTACAAAAATCATAGACGTATTATAATACGTGTCTAAAAATAATTCTCTTGAGTTAGGACCTTCAATAACAACTTATAGACGTTTGATAAATATATATTTGAACATATTTCACTTTCACGAGTTACCGCAAGTAAAGTGTTCAACAACACTCAAAAAATAAGAAAACATTAGTGTTGGAAATATTTTTATTTTTGTATTTTATATCTACTAAACGACATGGTTATAGTGCAAATAATTATAAATATTATATTTTAATTAATGAGGTGTATTCAATGTAAATTTAATCAAAAAAAGTAAGGATGGTCATAGTAATAATGACCTAAAAATTTAACGTAAAATTATTATAAAGCATCTCCTGACTCTGCCAGTTAAAAAATGCTTACCATGATATTAAGTTAATGCATTTTATAATCACGTTATATTAATTTCTTCCCCTACATGAACTTCATAGATTTAAAATACGTTTCGTTTTGTATAAATGATTATAGTTTTTAAAGAAATAAACAAAAATCAGAAATAGGTACTATATTTTAAAATGTTACTAAACTGTGCATTCATTTGAATATAGATACACATTGTGGTTTATGTACTGAACCTCTGCAACAGGTATAGTTTTTCCCCAAATTCCATGTTAAAATTATTATAATATCTTATATAAAAGCTCTGTAGAATAATTTTTAAGCTTGAAATTTCAACACCAACACAGCCAAGATTTACAACGTTAACTTCCAAGGCTCCAGATTAGACCAAATACAACTTCTAAAAATTGCATGATCACTATATTTTCTATACGGTAAATTTCTAGACATTGTGTTGATTTTCATTTCTATGTACAAACTTACATTGGCATAATATTCATCTTATTGTAAAATTTTTTTTTCACAATAATATATACAATCTGTACAATTGGTGCACAATAAGCATATATGCTAAGAGCTATAAATAACTTGAGTAGATGAGATAAGAAGTCACCCATTAGTAGCACTTGACAGAGAGTTGTTTAATTATCTAACTAAATATGTTATTATTTTGTATATATTTATTTATTTTTTGGTTTTAGTTTAGTTCCCTAAGAAATCACGGCACCAGTTCCTTTTTAAACAATGCCAGGTAAATAGGTAATGTTTGGATAGACAGGTTTTTAATGAGTGGGTTTTGATGTGTTTGGAGACGAGTATCGACTGTATTCTATGTCAAATGTCTTTGTATACATCATTCGTTTTATCATATCATGTTTTTTCTGACGTTTTCTTTGTTGGTGTGTGTTCGCTATTAATGCAACTGGTTCTTGTTTTTTCTTTCGCTGTTTTTTTTCTCAAATCTTGTTTCGTAAATCGCCACTATGGCATTGCTTTTGTTTATTGTTAATCGCCACTACGGCATAATCTGTTTATTGTTCATCGCCATTGCGGCAGGTCATGGCAGAACGTTTGTTGACAAATAAACTCCACCACAACACTCATAAGTGAATCGTATTTTGATATTCCACTTTCCTCGCCCACGTCAGCACAAAGTCACAACACGGCATTCCACGCTAACAAGTCTGGTCACCACGATCCTGCGTCAGCTGTTGATGATCGGTTGTTGAGCACGCGTAAGTCTATCAGAACCCACCGTGATGTTTGGGTCGCCATGAACTTCAAGAGTGTCTACAGTGACTGTTTCGCGTAAGTTCGCCAGCTAGTGAGAGGCCACCAAGGCCGTCCAGTAACGATTCACCAACTTCAATACGCACCGTCCTCATCGTAGTTTTAAATTAAATTTAATTAACGTCGACATCATCGTTTATAATAAACTAGCTGAACCCGTGCACTTCGTAGCCCATTAAAAATTCTATCTCTTTTATGGTCCATAGTTCATATTGTGTGTTAAATTCATTTCATGTGATGATGCTATCAGTATATTTTTATACATAATGATAGATAGTGGTTAAAATATATTATAATCTTACAACGATATTCAATTTCGTACATCATTATGCAATTTTCTTCGTTTTTTCAATATAATGTTGACAATTTAAATATTCAATTCAATGATATTTAGGCATAACACTTTCTAACTTACCCATATCTTCTGCTCATATTATGTCTAATAAAATTCTGTACCAAATTTTGTCGCAATCGGTCCAGCTGTTTTAGAATGTATATCGGACTAACAGATAAATATATACATATATATATATAACCATTACTAATAACACAGAACAATAATAACCGCTAATAATAACCGTCAGTAAAGCAACCATTTATAAGTAAACAAAAATGTCCATTCTAAAAATAAGTCCAGCTGCTCTCGAGAGCACTTGTTTGTTTAAATGGTTGCCTTTGACTACCAAAACATATTAATATTATTTATTTTATTTTTTACTGGGCAGATGGCGCCACTTTAATTTCATCACCCCATCATTATATTTCTCTAACCCGATAACTTTCTCAAATTAACGTAAATGAACGTATGAATTGTAAATGAAAACAGCCGCCAAATTGCCTCATTACAACTCACGTAACGTCCAAGTTGAAATTTCATCAACTTTTCGTTTGCATTTGGATCAGCAATGCCAAACACAGCCATGTCACTCCCTTTGTTCACATATTTGCAAACATATTTGATAGATTTTATGGAGTTGAAATACTCAACATTGCAGTGATTTGAGAACGTTTTCGACAAAAGTGGACAATATGGAACGATCCAGCGATTATCGACGACGACATCTTTTCCCTTGACTTTCATTATGATTGATCTGCCGTTATCATCTGGAGAACGACGCCGATACAATGGATATCCGTCGATTCCACTGATTGTGTCAGCCACAAACGGACGCGGAAAACGCTTAATGCAGTTTCCGTTTTGCATGCACGGTGACCCAGGATTCTGAGTTCCGCAAGGGCTATGTATCATGTTCGTGGTCACAACATAATGCAGCTCAGGATCTGTTTCTGGATCTGGTATTTCGGCAGAAATGACCGAATCAATATGATCTGGTCGGACCTTGTCAAACATCCAAAGCAGAATGTGCGCATGTGGTAAACCTTCTGCCATTCAACCGAGTACATCCAACAACGGATTGTGCCAAAGACCTTCTGCTTAACGATGTAATTCATGAGTACWACGATCTTTTGTTTGAATACTCGTGCAGTGATGTCATTTCGATCACTTGGTGTTTGTCCTGTCAGCAACTGATTTGTAATTTCGGGCCATTTCGGATTGCAAGTAAACGTGATGAACAAATCAAGTCGTCCGTAATTCCGCACGTATGTCATCGCATCTTGAGCATATTCATGCATGTGGCGCGGGCTTCCAATATGAGTAGCCGGGAAAATAGTCAAACGACCAATGTTGGCCGCGTCTCCTTCGGTAGCGATGGCATCACGCAAGTGGATATACTCGTCTGATCGTAACTTTGACTGATAGAAGCGAATGMAATTGAGACGCTCCGTTTCGACCTTGACGTACATGTCGACGCAGTACTGTTGAAACAACCGGCGATATCTCAATAGATGATTGTCAACATCTTGTCGAATCATCAATCGACATGCATAAAAATTCATTGAGCTGACATTTTTATTCGTTTCTTCTCCTGAAATATGAATTCAAACTTAGTTATAGTATGAAAAAGAAATGATGACCTGTAAACAAACCTGTCATTGGGTTGACCATCTTTATATTTAAGTGATACCCATCCTCTCCTCGACAGAACATCAACGGGTATTGAAGTGCATCATATGACCGATGAGWCTCGTACACGSGCTGCAATTKTCCACCATCRCRACGCTTAAGAACAATATCGCGTGATGCCACATTTTCGCCAACAATCACCACTGCGACTTCTTTGATAGTTGGAGCATTGAACTGTCTTTCATGGCTTCCAGAGGGTCTTTTGTCTGCTCTGATAATGATTTTGTGGTCGTCAGAATGYATTGTGTCCAATRCGGTTKTGAACATTCTGACCAATTGATTATGCTCATGCAGAAGAATTTAAAATTGTCCGATTATTTCACGTTTATTCGCAGGAAAAATTGCACACCGCTGTTCTAGWTCRTTTTCCGAATTACCAACGRAATATATCTGAAGGAACTTATGATCTTCGTTTGGTTGTGGTAACAAAGCGCCTGCTCAATGGTGAATTTGTCCTTGAACCTGAATATTTAAATGGTCATTTGTAAAAAAAAAATGTGTTATTATTACAAACGCCTTTACCTTATAACTCGGRTTGTAGCCTGGTTGTTCAATAACTTCTGCTCCAAATGACGTCATTTTAAAACTTCCGTTATATTATTGTGTATTCGCCAGGAAATGTTTTGATTGGATTGTATTTCCATAGAGAAACGAATACAATGGCTCTGGTGGTTGAGCTARAACTGGTAATTTAACSTTRCCACCAGCGCAGCATAAGCCGGGGGTTTCCAATCGAAACTTCAATGCCTTGCAATGCTGGCATACGATATATAATGAGCCGATATCAACGCACAAAAGATCTTTGTAAGCGACTGCGGAATCGTATTCGAAAGCAGCTCGATTCAAGGCTACATCTGAACTTCTTCTTCTTATATTAACATATCGTCGAATTTGAGGCGGCGTTTGTGCAGCGCGGGCCTGTGTATTATGAGCACGTCTAAATTCATTAATGTTTCTTGCATTACGTGTACGCCGTCCAATGTTTGTTCTTCTCATAGGAGGCATGATTCAAGCACAAAAATTCTCTCCAAAAAACAATAGTCGTTTTTGATTGAAAAAATGCATAAATAACATAAAACGATAATGTTTCAAAATAAAATGAATAATGTGCCAACTATAATAATTATAATTATTATTGTTTTACTCTAAAGTTCTAAGTGTCTATAATAAAAAATGTATATCAACCAGAATATAAAAATATATTTTTTTTTCGATTTTTATCGATATTAATCGATTTCAAGCCCTGCTATTATCGATATTTGTATTATTATTTATATTATATTTTTATTTTTATTTTTATCTGCTAGAGGGCGCAACCAGTGTAACTTAGTTTTTGTCTCTAAATCTCTAACTCACAGGAGTTAGATCCATAATTTATGCTATAAACCCGATCCCCGACATTCTCTATCATTTAAAAAAAATTTGAGCCAAATCGGCCCAGCCGTTCTCAACTGATGCAATTTCGAATTTTTTGTCTCCATTTTTATATATATAGATGTTCGAGTAGTGAGTTTGGTTGCCTAACAACAGAGTTGTCAGGGGTATCGGGAGGACGTGAGAGGAGTTGCCTACCCAGATTAACCACTGGCGCTCCCCACATCGATTTATGGCAATCGGTCCCGTTCGACACCAAATCAAACCTCGTAGTACTTCCCTTAGCAACATTTATAAAGAATACAAAGAAGAAGTGCAATTAGGCGCACTTCCAGTTTTTATAATTTGTATAAATAAATAAGGAAGACAGTTGCGATATTTTTCGTACTAAGTACGACACATTCGGACACAAAGGTAGACAGAATCACAACAATTAAGCGAAACGTAACTAATACATATGCAACGAATGTTTTGTCAAATCGCTACTCTGACTGAATGACTTGTCACACACATCGCACCCGAACGATTTTTCGACAGTGTCTGTGCATTAATGTGATGTCAAATTGCCACTTTCGTTGAATGACTTGTCACACACATCGCACCCGAACGGTTTTTCACCAGTGTGTGTGCGTCGATGTTTTGTCAAATGGCCACTTTCATTGAACGATTTGTCACAAGCATTGCATGAGTAATTTTTCTTCTCCATTTTTCCGTCGGAGTGACAGCAGACTGCTCCTATTCGTAAACAAATTAGTTAACATTTATTTGATTTTCGTAATACTATTTGTTAATTACCTGCATACTTTTCAGCTTATGATCGATTAGACTTTATTGACTTCACCAGATTTTCAAGCCAGTATTTTTTCTTATCACCAAAAATTAAACTAAAATAGTAGGTATCTAATGAATAACTTAACTCTGTTGGTAAAGTATTGTTTCTGTTATTACTTTAATATTATAAAGTATTAGTTTTATAGTATATTTTAATTTTTTTCAACTATGTTGATATATAAATATAATATTAAATTTAAGTATTTAAAATACTATTTAGTTTTTTTTTTTTAAATTTAACTGACTTTTAGCAAAGACAAGTTACTTTTTTTATTTAACATTAAAAGTAATATTGAAAGAAAATTAATTTTCTACTTACATTATATTATGCATCAAGTTGACAAGTAAAAAAAAAAAAACACTTAACCTGTCCAGCTTCGATAAAAAGAAACAAAATTATATTRGGTACAACAATTTACCGTACATATACATACCTATTACACAGCTCCCTAACAAATAATTTAAGTGTTCTAAGTATTTTTCAAATCAATCTAAAATTATTATTATTATTTATTTACAAATTTATAATCATGCCGTACATCATAAAACCTTTTGCAATTATTATTTTATTCTTTACAGCATCAAATTGCATACAAATATTAATTATTATAACATCGATACTGTACATCGACAGTAGGTATTCCACTTTAATTTCACAGTTATAATCATACCATACTTAAATGTATTTTTAACAAAAATATCATACATACATACGTATTAATATCGAAAATATGAACATAATAGAAACAAAGACGGTGATGAACCTAAATTTCGTACACCCGTGCCTATAATATACGTAGATATAACTAACGATGTATGATCATAACATATTTTATGGTATTAATACTACTAAAATAGTAAAATGTTAAAACAAATTTCTTATCGGGCGTAATGTACCAGCAGTGGGGGGGGTTTGGGTATTATATAAAATATAGTATAACAATGATTTTTTTACTTTTAAATGGTATTCGTCAATCTACATTTATTATTTCATTACTTCGTTGAGAAAAATTATTAGCTTATACTTTACCAATAAGTAAAATACTTCAAACAACAGATATARATCTATCAACTGAAGTTAACCAAGTAGAAAGTGTAGTGTCTATTCTCCGACGACTTAGAAGTAATGCYGACAATGAATTTAAACAATTATTTTTAGAAGCACAAGAAGTTGCCTCTAATTTAGATTTGACTATATCTATACCTAGACTAACAAAACACCAAACTAAGCGATATAATACACCATATGAAAATATTGAAGAATACTATAGACGTTCAATTTTTTTTCCACGGGTCGATTAATTTCTTAATAGTCTTTCTRATCGATTTTTAAAACATAAAAATCTCCTAACAAATTATAAATGTCTTTTGCCAACCGGACGTAATCCAACAGATGAAAAAATTTCAAGTTTTAAAAATCTTTTTGACTTATACGAAAAAGATATGCAATAAATTAGTTTTTCTGTCGCTAAGGCCGAATTCGAATTGTGGTATGAAAAATTTTAAAAACTGTGGATATACTTTATCGCTAAACGCTATTGATGGTTTAAATTTATGTGATATTAAAATATTTGAATCAGTATTCATACTTTTGAAAATATTTGCAACGTTACCAGTAAGTACAAGTACGGCTGAGATATTGTTTTCCACACTACGGCGAATTAAAACCTATCTCCGAAACACAATGGGACAGTCACGTTTAAATGGTCTGGAAAATCTTAACATACGTCGAGAAATACAAAATAAAGAATCCGAAGTTGATACGGTTCGCCCAGATGGACGGCCCGTGTCGTAAATGAATAACTAAGTTTCTTGTTTCGTAATTAAGATCTTTCTATTTCTATTTATAATATATATATATATACAATGCAAGGACGAGTAAAGCGTCGATTTGTGTCGACCAGACTTATATAAGTGGGTCGACACAATCGGGGGCGCTTGGGTAGTAGTCGGGTAGTTACCGGACTCTATCAATACAATATTTGGACAATATGATTTTAGATTTGTTTAATTACAAATATTGGGCTCGGGAGCCGGCCGTCGTCGATACAAACTTAGGTAAGTGGTACCCCGACGACGAGCCTGGCTCGGGAAGGTCAACTTAAATAAGTGCCCTGGGTGGTGAAAGTGTTGGCCCTGAAAAGGGCCGTTTTATTGAAATACTGTATTGTGTATTGTTGCCGTTGGAGTGTGGTTCCACGTTCGTCCTGTGGGTTGATCGTTGGTCGGCGACTCGGAACGGGTGTCTTCCGCACAGCTACAATCGGGTCGTTGGTCAGTCTCCGGACTGTTCTGTTGGCCGCGGCACTGATACACGCCGTGGAGCGGTGGTTGCGCCGGTGTTCGTCGGTCAGACGATGCTTGTAGCCGTGAAGCGGCGTATCGTCGTCGATCTGCAAGGTGACACGGGCATTCGCCGTACAGCGGTAGTGACGCTGATAGTCGGCTGTCGGACGACGCTGGAAACCGTAGAGCGGCGTATCGTCGTTGAGCTGCTAGTCTTGGTGTGTGGTTCGGGTCTTCGATTGTCTGAACTGAACTGGATCGTTGGTAGTGTAGACGGTTTGAAGGCTTGAAGTGGACTGACTAGATTTTGCTTCGAGGGGGGGGGATGGCTATGCCGTTAACTATTCCAGGCTTATGCCTCTACTAGTGGGTGGAAGTTTACTTGGAAGGTTTAGTTATTTTATTGATTTACCCAGGTGAGTGGGTAGGGTTTGAGTATGCGTTTGGTAGTTGGAGGAGTGTGAGTTTTGCCTAGAAGTCGGATGTG